CTGGTTATTGCCAACTGCTGATTTTCACTGTTGCCCTGCATAGGGATAAGGAGAAAGTGAGGGTTATTTACAATTAGTTAAAGGTTAAAAAGAGGCCCTGATCTCCTACAGAGAAAGAGCAGACACAGCTAAGCAGCAGGCTGAAGTTTTAATAGTTAGAATGCCAGAGTTTATTTGAAAACTTAGTCAAAGCAGATCCGAGACACTTAGGTCAGGGCCCTAGTTGGGAAAACCTAGGACCTTGAGATGTAAGATGGAGACAAGCAGATGGATGTCATGATGATATTGGTTCTGCAGATCCCCTGAACCCTCAGACTTTGCAGAAGTAGTCCCTTACTCTTTAGTTAGAGCCAGTCCCTGCTCCCTTGCTGAAAGATGCTCCAGAGCCCTTTCCCCTACAAGACACAGCTGCCTCCTTGAGAGATATTCCCACCTCCTTGATTGACAACTAGGCCAATAACAGCTAGGAATGTGCAGGGTCTGATACGGGAAGAAGAAGACTGTGCACTGAAAATGTTATAAGAATAAGTATGTGCTGACAGAGGAGCACTCCTGTTTCTGGCATTGGATTTTGAGGGTGGTTGATGAAGCAGCGTTGAATGAAAGACAAATAAATAAGAATTTATTGACTTTCTCGAGATATAGTATTTGACATGCTGGCAAGGACCCAAGGAGATTGGGCAGATTTGCTGCTAGGGTGGCTCTTAGCCTGAAGAAAGCAATAGTCAAGGCTGAGTGAAGCAGGAATGCCCTATGACCCTGGCCAGTGTGACTCAATTGGTCGTCCCTTACGCCAAAAGGTGGTGGATTTAGTTCCTGGTCAGGGCACATACCCAGGTTGCAGGTTCAATCCCCAGTTGGAGTGTGTATCAGAGGCCGCCGATGGATGTTTCTTTCTCACAACAATGTTTATCTCTCTATCCCCTTACCTCTCTCTTTCAAACCAATAAAAACATATCCTTAAGTGAGGATTAAAAAAAAAGAAAATGAAAAAGAAAAAAAAGAAAAGCCCTATGTGTCCTGGTAGAGAGTGGAGAAAGAAATAAACGGCTGGATATGTTGCGTAAAGCTGGAAGACCCGTCAGGAGATATGTTCTATGGGGTGGCCCAGAGGACACTCTACTTACCAAAGCCACCAGATGAGCTGGTGATTGGGGCTAGAGCATAACTGAGAAGTTCAACACTGGCTCTTCTCTGCGGGTGAAGGCTGGCCATAGGAGGAGTAGCTAAGCAGCACTAGGAGGAAACGATACCAGCCCTGGAGGTCTGGAGGAGTGTGGGTGAGGAAGAGAATATCTGAAAGTAGCTGCTTAGTTATCACCTTTTGTAGAAACTCCTCTCCTTAGTAGACATTTGCCTTGATACTTTCCAAAATTGGCAGTCTGGATTGCTGTGACTATTTTCTGGTATGAAAAGCAGGAGAACATTGTCTCAAGGCAACATTGGGAAAGGAAGGGTGTTGGGGGTGGGGGTGAGGGATGAAAGAGTAAAACTTAGAAAGTGTTTCTTTAAGTACTCTCTTATTCCACTCTAGGCTTCTGCCACCCACCCTCCTCACATACACCAGTTCAGGATAGCCTCAGTCTCCTTGTCTCTCACTTTTATTGTAATTTCCTGGCCTAGAATTCATGTTTACTTCTTTCTTCTATAGTTTATCTGATTGGATTGATTTGGAGGAAGTAAGTATGCTATGCTAGTTCACCATTTTGGCAGAAGTTAGAGAGAGAGGGGCAGATAAAATGATACAATTTTTTTTAAGTGAATAAATCCTTTATAACTGAATAGATTATGTTTAGATAAACAAAGAAAACCATGCAAGGATATACAAAATTTGAACTTTGATTAACTTAGGAGAAAATTTGGGAGAGATTGCCAGATTTTTCTTTGTATTACTCTATGTTGGAACACAGATTGTATAAATTATAGTTCAAAATGAGATGACAATAAAATATATATTAAAAATAACATTGACCAGGAGATGGCAGCATAGTAACACATTTGGTCTAAATTTCTTAGTACCTTGCAGCGCTTTTTTTTTTTTTTAATTCAAGTATAGTTGGCATAAAATATTATATTAATTTCAGGTGTACAACCTATTTATTCAACAGTTATATATTTATGAATTATGAAGTGATCTCCACAATAAGTCTAGTAACATCTGTCACTGTACACAATTTTTATGACATCATTGACTGTATTCCCTGTGCTGTACATTACATCACTGTGACTTATTTTATTTTATAACTGGAAGTTGTGCCTCTTATTCCCCTTCACCCTTCTTGCTCATCAACTCCCTTCCCTCCTCTCTGGCAACCAAAATGACATTAGCATATTGCACATGCCAAACCTTTTTTTATTTGGGTTTGCTTCTTGCTTAAAACATCATTTAATATTTTCAACTTTGTGACTCTGATACTTCTCCATTAACTTGATATTCTTTTCTTTGGTTGTCATTATATATCTCGTTGGGTTATAAGAAATTCCCTATTTATTTTAAAACCAACAAAGAATTTTTTTGATTCTTTAATATACATTTAATTGGGGAAGTTCTGGGATCTTTGGAAGTTTGAAAAGTGATTTCTGACCACTTCCATCTACCTGTGGGTGTCTGGTGGGCCTGCTCATACAGAGATTCACCTCTCCACTCCTGGACCAGTGCCCCTAGAGGAAGGGGAGTCTGAAAGGAGAGACCTCCCCGCCCCTCCCCCCCCCCAGGGTTTCCTACTTTCACCAGCAGTTATCAAACAAACTTTTACCTTTGTATGTGATCTTGAAAACAGGACTTAGCTTTATATACAATTGTATACCCAGTGTCTAGAGTATTCAATGTCTGACACATAGAGCCTCAAATAATGTTTGTTCAATGAATAAGTGATTATGTAAGTCAACGATTTTCAACCCGTGTGCTGCAAGAATTTTTAAAACAAGGAAAATCCATTTAGTCAGGGCACTGACCTCTTTTCCCTTAGTGTCATATAAAAATATGATACTGGTCAACACAACAATTGCTGTCTGGTGTGAATGAATCAAACTTATACCAATTTTTCTGTCAGATTGGCAAAATATGTAGTTCACGTTTTGGTTTGCTGCGGAAATTTAGTAATTAGTTTATGTGTGCCATGAGATGAAAAAGATTGAAAGTTGCTGATGTAAGTAGTTGCATAGAATGTTCTAGGTTAGTAGTGTCCAATAAAATTTTCTGCAATGATGGAAATGATGTATATCCATATTGCCCGATATGCCATAGGTAGCTATTTTGTGTTTAAAATGTGATTAGTATGACTGAAGAAATGAAATTTTAATTGTATTTAATTTAAACTAATTTAAATCTAAATGGCCCCATCTGGTTAGTGCCTACCATATTGGACAGTGCAGCTTTTAATGCCTAGTGTTGCTTTGCAATTTTCTATTCTCCACTCTACACTGTTAGTGAATGATGGAGTGGACCATTCTGCCTCAGCCAAATACATAATGCTCTTTCAAGTAGTATCTCTTTATGCATTTTGAAGCTACTAAATAGGGTATTTATGGTGCAATTTTGCATAGTTAAGGTATTTGAGAAATATCTCTATTTGTAGGTATATATCTACTAGAGGCCTAGTGCACAAAAATTTGTGCACTTGGTGGGTCACTCAGCTCGGCCTGCATCCTCTCACAGTTCTGGACCCCTTGGGGGATATCCACCTGCCAGCTTAGGCCCACTCCCTGGGGGATCAGGCCTAAGCTGACAGTCAGACATCCCTCTGGCAGCCCAGGAGACCTCAGGGGATGTCCACCTACCAGCTTAAGCCCACTCCCTGGGGATCAGGACTAAGCTGGAAGTCAGACATCCCTCTGACAGCCTGAGAGCCCTCGAGGGATGTCTGACTGATGGCTTAGGCCTGCTCCCCCTTGGGGAGCCACAGTCAGACATCCTTAGAGCTGCCGAGGAGGTGGGAGAGGCTCCCACCACCACCACTGCACTCGCAGCTGTCAGCCCAGCTTGTGGCTGAGTGAGATCCCCCTATGGGAGCACACTAACCACCAGGGGGCAGATCCTGCATTGAGTGTCTTCCCCCTGGTGGTCAGTGTGCATCATAGCAACTGGTTATTCCACCATTAAGGTCAATTTGCATATTAGCTTTTTATTATAGAAGATATAGATTTCTCTCTATATAAGTCTCTCCATAGGTGGTTGTATAGACAGATAGACAGATGAATTATTTGCCCATAGCAGTTCAAACTTCAAACAGCCTCCTTCCTCCAGCCAGGTCCAGTTTCCAAATGATCTTAATTTATCTAGAATTGTTTAGATTTGGGTGAGATCATGATGGTCTCTCAGCATCCTCAATGCATCAGCATTATAAAAAGAGGGAGAAGAGCCCTGGCTGGGGTGACTCAGTTGGTTGGAGCATCATCCTGTCCACCAAAAGGTGATGGCTTCAATTCCTGGTCAGGGCACATATCCAGGTTGCATGTTCTATCTCTCAATCTGATGGATGTGTTTTTTTTCTCTCTCTCTAAAAAATCAATTTGAAAAAATGAGGAGGAGAAAGATATTCCCAAACTCATGTAAGAAAATTATGGGGCAAGATTTTTAACAGTGAAATTTTTCTTTTAGCTATTGATCCCATGACTATGGTTCTCAACTGAGGATGATTTTGCCACTCAAGGGACATTTTGCCATGTCTGGATTCATTTTTGTTTGCTGCAACTTGGTAGGGTTACTGCTAGCATCCAGTGTATAGAAAGAAGGAATGCTACTAAACCTTCTACAAAATAGAGGATAGCTGCCAGCCCTCTATGTAACACATCTCCCGAAGATTTATCTCTGACAAATGTCTATGGTACCAAGAATGAGAAACCCTCCAGTATGGTGATGACCAAAAAGAATGAGTTTGACTTTATTATTATAAATATATTTTAATGTATATAACATAATATCATGCAGTGCAAGAGAGACTCTCCCTTGATATAAAACAAAAAAAAAGAACACAAAAATTCTTAGCATTGGCAGTTATTTCATTAACTAAATTAATTAATTATAAAAAGAATGGGTAAACAAATAAAAGTTTAGGTGCACAGAAAAACTTTTGTTGAATATTACTCATGTCATGTTGCCATGTACAGTGCCACAAAAATGCATTTAAATATATATGAAAATGACCTAGGTAAAGAATTAAACCATTTCAAAGATGCTTTCTTGATTGTTAAGTTTTTCTATAAATACTATTTTGCAAATAATGCCTAACTTTTAAACATAAAATTGAAATATTGTATAGTAAGGTATTTCCCAAAATCTTGCATCAAAGTATCCATGAATGTCTAATTTTATACTGGCTTCTTGTTTAAATTATTTATGAATATCTAATTTACATTGACTTATTCTGTGGGCTCCTTAATTGTTCTGAAATTGATTGAAAATAACTGTTTTTAGAAAATAAACTGTATTAAGAAATTATTAAACAGAACTGAAAAGTAAATTTACACTAAGATCGGAACTTCTCCCATTGTTAGAGAGGAAAGAAGCTCATTCTTACTCAGTCCTTGCCTCCTCTTCTCAGTGAAAAGGCCAAGAAACTTTTCTTTTCTGAATATCAAAAGACATTTTTACATAGTTTAAAACAAAATCCAGCGCTAGGCAATATTTTCAGTTCTCTTGCTGTCTGATTCAAATATTTTGTTATTGTTCAAAAGTAAAGATTAGTGTAGTTGTTTAAGGAAATTAAAATCTGGGTGTAAATGTAAATGACAGTTTTTCTTCAAATTTCAAAGAGAGGTAAAACATGCATCTGAGGGCAAAGGGGAAAGAACTCACAGTAGTGCCATCTCTTAAGTCCTGGCTTCATGTCTAATGCCCCTCCATCATTTGTGTTAGCATTGGCCAAAAAACTAATTACCTTGATTTGCCTAGTACATGGACCTACGGATTCCTAATGAGAACTGTTTGATGAGGAAGGTTAAAAACTGTGGAGTCAGGGGAAGGACAGTGTGATCTGTCAGCGGAAAAAAATAGAGAATGCTTAGCCAATTGCTACTTACCTACTTAAACTGCTGGATTATGCTAAACTGAGAAGCGTATAGTCGGGATAGAAAGGTGAACAAGGAGGTCATCAGAGACACAGCAGCAATGGTGGATCTTTGAGGAGATGACAGGTTCTTATATGTTCATGGTCAGCAAAACACTTCAGCAAAATACTTCTTTATGTGAAAGAAAGCCTGTCTTTTTCCTCACATCTAAGGGGAGAGTTGTCAGATCATGCTTATTTGCATCTTGACCTCAATGACAGCATACATGGCAAACACATACTGGACACAATTTCCTAGACACCACACATGACATTTTCACTTGGAGGTGGATGGTTGTTGCATTAGATAGTAGTTTTAGATTTAATCCAGTCCCGATAATGAGTCACTTTTGTATAAATTCCAGGATTGTTTTCTTTACCACAGTCTATTCCCCAGCTTACTATTCCGATAATATACCAGATGTTTCTATCACGTGCAATAACCAGAGGTCCCCCAGAATCACCCTAGAGAAGAAGAGAAATATTGTCAATGTAATAAATGAGTGTCAGAATGACAGTTAATCAGCAACTTAATATCTAATAAATTAATATTTTGAAGTAGGTAAAACTAATTCTATTTTTACTTACTATTAGTATTAATATAATAATTGTGTTATTACTTATATCTTATTATGTCTGCTTACCTCTATGAATATCTTCACCTGAAAGATGATGATAATAAAGATAATGTTTCAGTTTTACCCTTGTATAGTTTTTTATTTTTGCTCTATCTAAATAGAGAGTGCAAACTGTATCTAAATTTAGGCATCCAGTTCTTACATAAATGATACCTTAAGCTTCAACTAAACACCACCTCTACAATGAAACCTCTCCTAACTCTGTTATGTAGAATAATCTCTTGCTTTGAGTTTAAATCTCACCTTATTCCATTCTCACCAGCTGATAGGTGTCCTGGGCACTGTATTACTGTGTAGCAGTAGGTTTGAGAGGAAGAAGATATGCAAAGGGCACTCCAAGCCAATGTGCACCATTTATTACACAAATTATTTTGCTTCCAAACTAAGATGGAATCCCTAGCCTTCAAGATCTGGTTTGAATGTTGTGAATCATGAGGACTTTCTTGATATCTTTAACCTTAGATTTGGACAACTGATTTGTACTTAACTTTTAGCAATGAACCTATTCATTCCAAAAAAGTATTATGTGGAAGTTCCTTACAGATTTTTTTTTTTAAATAAGAGAAATGGTCTTGTTTGAAGTAGGCATGGGGTCCTAGAGACTTGTCACTTCAGCTCTCTTCCCTTAACATGCCTTTTAGTACATTTCAGTGCACAGTAGAGGGAGTGTGAAAACCTTGGTCTACCAAAAGCTATCCTCCACAGCTCCTTAGCTCCTTTCCTAAGTTAGCCCACATCCTAACTTAGGTCCTCAGTGTGCTAGTGGTGAAGGAAGCATGGACCAATAGAAAGAGGAAATCTGGTTTCTTATAAACTCAAATATAACTTTCTATTCAACAGATTTATTTTTGTGGATTTGAGTTTATCCTAATTATAGACTTTTTTGTGTTCTTCCTTAAAAGTCATGTGATCCAGTTCTATCTTGAAGCATACATGTTGTTTCTGCTTCTTAAGAATTAAAACTAGCCCTAACTGGTTTGACTCAGTGGATAGAGCATCGGCCTGCGGACTGCAGGGTCTCAGGTTCGATTCCGGTCAAGGGCATGTAACTTGGTTGCAGGCACATCCCCAGTAGGGGGTGTGCAGGAGGCAGCTGATCGATGTTTCTCTCTCATCGATTTTTCTAACTTTCTATCCCTCACCCTTCCTCTCTGTAAAAAATCAATAAAATATATTTTTAAAAAAAGAAAAAAAAGAATTAAAACTAGTAGAAGGAGACCTTGCGTTCCAGAAAATGTAGCCAAACCCTTGTCTTTTGTCCACTGCTTTTAGTTATGTACTTATGTGCTGTTATTAAATTGTAAATTCATCATGGACTCCTGCTTTTTTAAGTGTTTATGTTTCCTTCAGTAATTGCCATAGTACCTTGCAATTCACAAAAAAAGTGAATGAATAAGTGAATGAATATTTATTACCAATAGCAGATCAATGGTGGCAACTTTGCATATAAAAAAAGCACTCATGTGTAAAAATCTCAAAGCCATTCCTAATCCTTCAAGAATTATGAAAAGTTGGGCTCAGTTTCAAATGCTATAGGTAAAAATCTTTATTAATTTTGATATTTATTTTTCTTCTTTTATATAACTAGACTTTAAAAGTGGCAGCATGGATGGACTTGGAGAGCATTATTCTAAGTGAACTAAGCCAGTCAGAGAAAGACAAGTACCATATGTTTTCAATCATATGTGGAATCTAATGAGCAAGATGAATTAACAAGCAAAATTGAGGCAGACTCATAAATAGAGAGCAGGCTGACAGCGGTTGAAGGGGTGGGAGTTGGGAGGCTGGGTGGGAGAGGTGGAGAGATTGAGCAAAAAAGAAAAAAAAAGAGAGAATAAACTCATAGACAGGGACAACAGGGTGGTGATTGTCAGCATGAGGGAAGGTTAGGGGAGGTGGAGGAGACCATAGGAGGAATAAATGATGGAGAGGGATTTGACTTGGGGTAGTGAGCACATAATACAGTGTACGGGTGATATGTTTTGAAATTGTGCATCTGAAACATGTATAATTTTGTTAACCAGTGTTACCCCAATAAATTTTAAAAAGGGGAAAAAATAAAAGTGATATTCTCTTTAAATGTTTAATGATTAAGAATTTTTTTTTAATTGCATAATTCTCTCTGGATGTACTATTTAAGGTCAATGGCTCAAGCACCCATAAAATGACACTACTGCCAATCCCATCTCACAATGCCTTACAACTAGTAGGGATTAGATATTTAACTATCAATTATAATTATGGATTGAAGCAATGATTGTGTGGCTTCCTGACTTAGTTTCTTTTATCTGCTGCCACTTCTTTTCTCTAATTAGAGCACTAATGTGCATCTGGTGGTCATTTTTTACATATGCATGGAGACAATAATAGGAGTATTTCTTATGGTTCATCCTTTCCCTCTTTTTATACTCTGCTCTCTCCTGCACAACTTAATTTTATGGAGATCCATGAAGTGACATTGACTTATGGACAGTGAGTTCATCTCTATTCAACAGATTCATTTTTGTGGATTTGTGTCTAGTCTTACCTCACAGGCATCGAGTTTTCCTTCCAAGAATCCAGCACATATCATTCCTGATGACACAGCACCACCGTATACATGAACTTCATTACATCTGTCATTACTTATGATCTCTACCTCAACTTGTCGAAGAGTATTGGGAAAAGGACCTACAGAAGAAAAAAGTAAATAAGTGAAGAATTTCCAAATTCTTGTATTTATAATAGTTAATTGTGTCTTGCAAAGGATAGATTAATGATAAAATATATGTCTAGAACAGCGGTTCTCAACCTGTGGGTCGCGACCCTTTGGGAATTGAATGACCCTTTCACAGGGGTCACCTAAGACCATCAGAAAACACATATTTTCTGATGGTCTTAGGAACCGAGATACCACTCCTCTATCTGTCTCCAGGCGGGTCTGTCCATATGCAGATACGCCCACATATGAGTACCCGGCGTGATGACATCATCGCGCCAACCCCATCACATACACCCCGTACAGATACAGGTGTATGTGACAGAGTTGGTGCCATAATGTACTTATGCGGACCAGTCACACATGTGTAGAGAGCAGCTATGTGTAGAAAGCAGCTACTCTGTTAAAAGCAGCTACTGTGTTGAAAGCAGCAGTATTGGAGGTAAAACGACACTTCATGAATTATAATTACTGGGTAAATGTAAAATCATGTACTGTAAAATCATCAACTACTGCAAAAAAAAAATATCTGTACCATGGGAACTTAATCTGGATGCTGTTCTGTCTTTTTATATTCAGCTGTGGTTGATGTGAATACTGCCCCCTTGTGATAGTAATAGGTTTGTAAAAAACAACAACACAGAGAATGGTAAGTCATAGGAAACTTTAATGAACTGTATTGACTGAACTATGCCATGTATCATCTTTTGTATTATTAAAGCTATTGTTATATATTATTTTCATTAGCATACCATCCCATGACAATGGACCATGTAGAGAGGAACGTTAAGAAAAGAAAATATAGTGAGGATTTTTTACGGTATGGTTTTACCTCAATAATTACAGCCGGAATTGAGAAACCGCAATGTGTTATTGTTGTGAAGTTCTATCAGCCGCATCTATGAAGCCGAACAAACTAAAACGCCATTTTGATAGCAAGCATCCGAGCTTTGCCGGCAAGGATACCAACTATTTTAGAAGCAAAGCTGATGGACTCAAGCAAGCCAGACTTGACACTGGTGGCAAGTACCATAAACAAAACGTAGCAGCCATTGAAGCTTCATATTTGGTGGCACTCAGAATCGCCAGAGCTATGAAACCTCACACCATTGCTGAGGATTTACTGTTGCCAGTGGCCAAAGACATTATTCGAGTTATGATCGGAGACGAATTTGCTACGAAATTGAGTGCAATTTCCTTATCTAATGACACTGTCCACAGAAGAATAGATGACATGTCTGCTGATATTTTTGATCAGGTAATCCAGGAAATTAAATGTGCTCCACTTCCAATATTTAGTATCCAGCTTGATGAATCTACAGATGTTGCAAACTGTTCACAGTTACTGGTTTATGTGAGGTATATTAATGATGGTGACTTTAAGGATGAGTTTCTTTTTTGCAAACCTCTTGAAACGACAACTACTGCATGTGATGTATTTGACACAGTGGGTTCATTTCTGAAAGAGCATAAGATCTCTTGGGAAAAGGTTTGTGGTGTTTGCACAGATGGTGCTCCAGCTATGCTAGGATGTCGATATGGATTTCAGCGTTTGGTACTGAATGAGTCACCAAAAGTCATCGGAACTCACTGCATGACTCATCGGCAAATATTAGCAACGAAGACGCTGCCACAAGAGTTACAAGAAGTGATGAAAAGCGTCATAAGTTGTGTCAATTTTGTAAAGGCGAGCCCTTTAAACAGTCGACTGTTTTCTCAACTGTGCAACAAGTTGGATGCGCCGAACAATGCTCTGCTATTTCACACTGAAGTGAGATGGTTGTCGAGAGGAAAAATTTTAAAACGTGTTTTTGAGCTTCGTGATGAACTCAAAACGTTTTTTAATCAGAAAGCAAGACCGCAGTTCGAAGCACTTTTCAGCGATAAAAGTGAACTGCAGAAAATAGCTTACTTGGTTGACATCTTTCCCATCTTGAATGAGTTAAATTTATCACTGCAAGGACCAAATGCAACATGACTCGATTTGTCTGAAAAGATCCTATCATTCCAAATGAAACTTCAGCTTTTGCAAAAAAAAAAAAAAAAAAATGGGTGAAAATAAAATGTACATATTCCCTACCTTATCTGCTTTCTTTGAGGAACATGACATTAAACCAGACAAAAGGATTACGATGATAATTTCTGTGAAAGAACACTTGCACATGCTTGCAGACGAAATTTCATTGTACTTCCCAAATCTACCTGACACCCCATTTGCACTTGCCAGAGCCCATGCACAGTCAAAGTTGAAGATGTTCCTAAGACAGTACAAGAGGAGTTCATTGAACTTATTAACAACGATGCAGCGAGAACTGATTTCTCTATAATGCCAGTTACAAAATTCTGGATCAAGTGTTTTGCGGTCATATCCTGTTCTATCTGAGACTGCGTTGCACCTTCTTCTTCCATTTCCAACAACATATCTTTATGAAACAGGGTTTTCCAGCTTGTTGGTTATCAAGTCTAAATACAGAAGTAGACTTGTTGTGGAAGATGATCTTCGTTGTGCTCTTGCAAAGACTTCCCTGAGAATTTCTGATCTGGTAAGAAAGAAGCAATCTCAACCTTCGCACTGACTGACATTGGCTTTTTACACATATTGTGCAAAATGTAGCAATGTAGTTTACTGTTGTTATAGTAAGACTGTTACCCATGCTACACCATGCTTCAAGACAAAATTTCATTTATTTGTAATTAGAAATAAATATTTCACAATATATAATTACATATTGTTTTTGTGATTAATCACTATGCTTTAATTATGTTCAATTTGTAACAATGAAAATTCATCCTGCATATCAGATATTTACATTACGATTCATAACAGTAGCAAAATTACAGTTATGAAGTAGCAACAAAAATAATTTTATGGTTGGGGGTCACCACAACATGAGGAACTGTATTAAAGGGTCATTAGGAAGGTTGAGAACCACTGGTCTAGAAGTTGGGCTCTGGGCTTGATGACAGCGCTTCGGAGTCAAGTTATATTTCCTGGATGCTCTTTTGTTTTCTATGTGTTAGCTATCATCCTTGGCATGCTTATTTCCACTGTCTTACTTCATACTTGTCACAATTACCAAAGATAAATATGGATTGTTTTTTTAGATGAATAAACCAAAGATCACTTGGCTATGAGTCTTGCAATGATCACTTAGCTAAATGGAGATAAAAAGTCAGGGCATCTATCACTACCTGGGAAAATCTGTCACAGTTTACCTAATTTACAGGAAATCTGGATTATCACTCTTCAAATGACACACTTATATTGGGAATTGAGAATCCTTTAGAAAAACAATACAGAGTAAGACTTTACTATCGGGAATTAACTTCAATACTAAATAGATAAAATATTATTGCTTCATAAAAAAGATCTGTGTAATATTTTCAACAATAAAGGTTTTTTTTAAAGGATGCAACTTATAACAATAGATAGGTCAATACGCAGTATTCTGCACACTTTTGGGCATTGAATGATTCATGATGAACTCACAAATCACTCAGAAACTACAACTCTGGAAAGGGGGATGTTAAGTTTAATTAGGTTCTAGAGGTGGCGTCATGGTCCTGCCCTAGTGGTCGATGCTATATATTTCTTCTCCAATCAGTAAGCAGTCTGCCTAATTCCAAATCATTTAATTCTCCTTTATATTTATCACCATACCCTATATAACAAGGCCAATCCCTTAGTAATGAGGAAAAGGACTCTCAGGTTATAAAAACAGTGTATCAACCTGGACCCCATGTGAGAATTTTAGAGTGCATATTGAAAGAGAGCAGATATCTATAAAAATCAACTGATGAAGACTCGGTAGATAAAAGCTGTACTTTGAGCAAGAACATAATAAGACTACAACTTCATAATAAGAGCCTGGAACGAGAATCAGAAAGTCAAGGACTGATTAAACCATATGTAAAGAGTGCAGCTTAACAGAACTTGAAACTTACATCATTATTTAAATGTCTATCAGCAGTTTATTATATATTATTAAGTATAGTAAAATATCATACTTGTCAACTTCATAAACTCTCAAACTCAAAAAACTGTTTTATAGGTACATGGATCAGAAGGCCCCATTTAATATTCAGCATCAGGAATGTCATTCAAATTGCTCTCTTAAGACTATTTCTGTTTATGATACATTACTACTACTCACAAATAACATACTTTAGGAATTATGTAGCCATAACAGAATCTTTACATCTGAAAGAGCAATGAAAGAAAAAAAATCATATGAAAAAATATGCTTTAATTATGTTTGAAAAGTTATAACTAGTTTTTAGAGAAACCCCTAAAGAATATAATAATCATAAATACTGTGTAATAGTAATAGCCAAAGTTTTCATAAGTCACAATATCTGGTCTTTGTTTGTTGTTTCTGCCATATTTTTCATGGGACATAATGGTTTAATCTCTTATTTTCTGTATTTTGACTTGGTATCTTATTTCTTCATATCTCCTCTCAGATGGAGGTTTTTGTTTTTTTACTGAGATACTCACCTTTTACTTTCAGTGCTCCCCATCCGGTGACAAACACTTTACTCTTAGGCAAGACTTCAAATGCAGGATCTGGGAGACAGACTCTGTGCACATCTTCGGAAAACAGGACGGGAGTGGAGAGCTTCACCACCGCGATGTCGTCTTCGTGCTTATGGGCAGCATAGTTCTCATGAAGGACGATTGTCTGCACCCTTCTTCTCATTAGCGGAGGGCTTAGAGTGGTTCCAAAACTAGCCGTCCAGAGTTTGGGGTTTTTGTAACTGATCACAGATTAAAAGGATTATTGTTGGTTCATTTCTGATCTAAATTTACCCAGGACTCTGGATGAGCAGGGGGCATAGGGTGGGAGAAGGGTGATAGTAGATGGGGATCCTCCCACCTTGTCATTTAAGGCTTCTCCCCTAGGGCTGCTTTGTATTGATTTCGCTGATGACAAATCCCCCCATTCTCATGTAGCTTAAAGTATACTCTTCCAGGGGGAGTTTGTATTTTTTTTTTTAAAGAAACCAATGGATTATCGCTATTTTTTGAAGAAAATATACTTGAATAAAAATTAGAGATATTGTATACATACATATACATATCATTATGTCCATGCATAGTTATTTAAATGTATGCATGTATAGTTAGAAAGAGAGAAAGGGAGGGGAGGGAAGGGGAGGAGAGAGAGAGGGAGAGAGAGAGAGAGAGAGAGAGAGAGAGAGAGAGAGAGAGAGAGAGAGATTAGAGCCACAATTGATTCAGTGTTTTCTCATCCTTTCTTTTAGGTTAAATTTTATCCAGAATATTGTCACATTTTATGTGAATTTCGCTAGAGCTACTATATCTCTTTATTTTCTCCAAGTGTCCCATATGTTAAATCTTCAATGAGTATATAAATAATAAAAGTAGAGCACCAAAGATATCCATGTGGGAAAATCAGATGTAAGTTTGTGGGTTGAGATATTATTAGCAGAGTTTTTAAAAAATCCACAATATATCTCAGAAAAACTGGAGAGTGTGTTTAAATTTTGACAGTGTTGGCTTATTCTTAGTTAAAATTGAGATTGCTGGGGAATATATATTCAGTTAAAGCTGAAGATACTCTAATTTTTTGTACTATTCAGTAATTGTCACTTTTTCTAAGCCTACCAGAAAAATCACGAATACTATTGGGAGGCCTAAGATGATTGATGAAAAAGGGATACGAATTATAGCAAGTGAAGGTGAGAAAAAGAAGTGACATTGGTGACCCTGTTGGTACAGATGGAGGACTTACGTGTCAAAGCAATGCGCTGCAGTCAGGAGCCACTCCTCGCTGATCAAAGAGGCACCACAATAGTGGGTGCCATCCATTTGCAGGCTGGCTTGCCATGGCCAATCAGCTTTCTTTGCAATATAACCATTAGCAATTTTTTCCATGGATGGAGACTCCCTCCCTAAACCACAACCTGTCATAAGAGAATAAGATGATTATTTCTAGAGTTATCAATGTGTATAAGTATATTTGGCACATAGTAAAATATGGGAGCATTCATAGGTTTGCCTGGCCTTAAAATTTAATCAAAATTACATGATCGAATAATAATTTATACTAAAAATGGTTAACTTAAAACATAAAATATTTAATACCCTCCCTGATGTATTTAAAGCAATTTCACTTATTTTTTTTCTTATATTTTGGGATCATGTTCTTAGGTGCAGCATTTACCCCCATGATATTTGATGGTTTTGATTGTGAAATGTATACTAATTATTGCAGGAAAAAAATACTATTTGTACTATTTTATTTAAATACTTGTCTAATATTAAAACCATTACATAACTTAGTATAAATATCTAAGTTTACATATTAAAGTTAGTGGATGTCATTTACTTCTAAACAAATTTTCTACTTTAACAAAGTGAACCAAATAAAAATAAATAAGATAAAATGAAAGGGAACTCTTTAAAAGAAGTCATCAGTGAATCCTTCTATAAAGAAGAGCAAGTTATTTCCAAAGAACCCATGTGACATGAATTCCCAATTATTTTCCCTTGAGGAGAGTTAAATCATGTATCTATTTAGAGATATCATATACTTTTGGAAATAGTAAACATGGGAGTAGAGAAACTCTTCTCTCTCTTTTTTTAATTGATTTCAGAGAAAGGGAAAGTTTGAGAGAGATTGAAACATCAATTATGAGAATCATTTAATAGGCTGCCTCCTGCACACCCCCTACTGGGATCGAGCCCACAACTGGGGAATGTGTCTTTCACTGGAATCAAACCCAGGACCCTTTAGTCTGCAGGCCATTGCTCTATCCACTGAGCCAAACTGGCTAGAGCAAGAAACTCTTAAAGTGTTTTTAAGTTTTATTATTTGATCTATAAGACATCTCAGAGATATTTTTGAACTTACCACTGTTCAGAATGTGCTCTGCTTGTATTTTATTTATATCTGGAAAAAATACAAGATGATTGCTCAGCAATTTCAATTGTCATTTAAAACACTGTACCTGCATGACATGAATATTTCTATTTGGAAGAAACTGAATTAGTTAGGAAATACTTAATTTAAAGGCAATAGAATAAAATCCTACAAAAAGGGGTAGTTTAGATATAAATTAAACTCTTCATGCCTACTAAATGTGGACTCTAGGAAAATACTGGTTCATTGTTATAAAAACATTGGCAGAGAGGATGCTATTTTTTGCCATGAAGGTGGATTAATGCCATGCCAATTTATTAAAATATAAGTGAAACTGAAGAGAACCTAAGACCACTTTTACATATATACTAATATGTTTGGACACTGTTCTCCTCCATCCTCATTCACACAGTAGTGTTACTGTAAAGCCGTTCAAGAATCTTAGACAGCTGGCATGGAGGGTTGGTCCACAGATGCTCCCTGTGGAATCAAAATCCACCAATATCCTAACAAATCCTCAAATACGTTAGTCATTTTTATCATGAAGCAAAATAGAAAACAAAGGATGCTCAGTTGTTCCCCACAATTACATGAATTTCTCCTTATGCCAGATAGCATAAGGAGCAATCTAGACCCATATTTTGCTACAATGAAAGCTGTGTGAAATTTCAGTAAACCTGCAAATTAAGGAGTCTTTAATGTAGGTCAGACTCTAACCGAGAACATAAAATGCATCTGCAGATTACTGTGGGTAGGGAGTTTATTAGAGTAAGTCCCTTAGAATTAGGTTTTGCCAATAATAACAATCTCAAAAGGATATAAAGTGTATGATTCCATTTATGTAACATTCATGAAATAATAACACTAGAGGCCGGTGTATGAAATTCGTGCATGGGGGGGGGGGGGGGGAATCCCTCAGCCCGGCCTGCACCCTCTCCAATCTGGAACTGCTGGCTCCTAACCACTCACCTGCCTGCCTGCCTGCCTGATTGCCTCTAACTGCCTCTGCCTGCCAGCCTGATCACCCCTAACCACCTCTGCCTCGACCCCTGCTACCATGGCTTTGTCCAGAAGGAGGACTAGACGACCAGAAGATGTCCGGTCTATCTGGTCTAATTTGCATATTACCCTTTTATTAGTATAGATAGATGGAGAATGGATTAGGGTTTCCAGGGGCTAGAGATGGGAAGAGGGTTTGGGTGTGGCTATAAAGAAGTAACACAAGGTAGTCTTCTCATGGCATAGTAGCAGAGTATAGGTGTTTTTTTTTTTAAATCATATCCACGTTTAATTCAAACAATTATACTAATATCTCTCTTTCAAAAAAGGAGGAATTGCTATTATATTTGTGTTATTATATAATTATTATATAATTATTCTGTCTTAATTATTTCCATATTAATCAAAGGAATATTTTGGTGTTGATTAGGTTTTTGCTTATTATCAAATAAATGAGAGACTTAAAAATGGAAAGCATTTTCATTTTATGGTGAAATAAACATCCTTTCTCTGTAGATGAGAAGATAGTAAAATTGTGAACTATAGCATGGAGAGAAAATGTTATTTCTTACCTTTAAGATAAGGCAATGAAGTATCTATCTTCAAGAAGCTTTCATTTAATTTTAACTTCTGATGCAAAATGTTAGCAGCTTGACTTTTTACTGTTTCTGCATTGTTAGGAAGAAAGTGAAATTTAAGCAATACATCTGTTTTCAAACCATCATCACTTGACCTGGAAAACAAAAACACCAGAATAAATAAGTGAAGTCATAGCCATAATTATTATTTAATACCTTATTATTTAAATATTAGTTATATCTTTAAAAATACAACATAAATATTTTATTATCATAGATTTTTCCCTTTCTTTTATCATATAGGTGTTAATACATAAATTATTCCCTGTTCGTAAAAGTGTTTCATATTTACGGAGGGGAGAGTAAAATTCTAGAGTTTTGGAATTTTTTTTTCTGGGAAAATAAATCAAAAATACTTGTTAAATTCGTCAACTCTGTCTACATATATTTTTTCTTAATTTTTAAAAATTCATATCTGTTTATGCTTAAAATTTAAGTAAAATTTAAAAATTAAGCCCAGCCAGGTGTGACATAGCAGTTGAGCATGGACCCAGGAATGAGGTCACATGTTCGATTTCCAGTCAGGGCATATGCCCAGGATGCTGGGTCAATCCCCAATAGGGGGTGTGCAGGAGGCAGCTGATCAATGATTCTCTCTCATTATTAATGTTTCTCTCTCTCTCCCTTCTTCTCTGAAATCAATAAAAATATATTTTAAAAAAATTAAGTAAAAGTATTTAATGATTGTGAGAATCTTTAAGTGAAGGGCAAGTCTTTTTTTTTTTTTTAATCCTCATGCGCAGATATGTTTTCATTGGTTTTTATAGAGAGAGTGAGGAAGAGTGTGTGTGTGAGAGAGAAATATCAATGTAAGGAGAAACATCAATAGGTTGCCTCCTGCACGTGCCCCAACTGGTGGTTGAACTCACAACCTAGGTATGTGCCCTACCAGAATCAGACCCACAATCTTTTTTCTGTCCAAAATATGTTTTTATTGATTTTTTTTTTTAAGAGAGAGGAAGGTACAGAGGGAGAAAGAGAAAAACATTGATGTGAGAGAGAAACATCCATTGGTTGCCTCTGTACACACCCTAATGGGAGTATGAAACCCAAAATCTGGGTATGTGCCCAGATGGGGAATCAAACCAGTGACCCTTCGGTGCACTGGACTGTGCTCAACCAACTGAGCCATTCGGCCTGGGCAGAAATGCAAGTCTTTAAAAGAACAACCAGAAGAATGTATTTAATCTCTACCCAAATCAAGAAAGTATCCCCTCTAGGTACTCTGTAGAAGAGGAATAACAATTAAACATAGTAATATGAAATTATTTTTGCTCTTGATATATCCAAGATTTTTTAAATATATATTTTTATTTATTTCAGAGAGGAAGGGAGAGGGAGAGAGATAGAAACATCAATGATGGGAGAGAATCATTGATTGGCTGCCTCCTGCTCATCCACTCCTGGAGATCAAGCCTGAAACCCAGGCCTGTGCCCGGACCAGGAATCAAACCGTAACTTCCTGGTTCATAGGTCAACGCTCAACCACTGAGCCATGTCAGCTGAGCTATCTAAGATTTTCATATCCTGCCAACAAAGCAAATAAATGAAGAATAACTAAATAAAACAAAATTGCTCTTTCATTATACAAATTGATTAGTTATGATTACCTGAAGTTGACAACATGAGACTCGATGTAATGATGATTTAAACTGGAATTTTGAAATATCTTATCAATCTGAGAAAAGAAAAAACAAACAACACACAGCATAGAACTTTGTTAAATATGAATTTCACACATTTCAATAGAACACAAAAAAGTTTGTATAAAACCTGCAGTGATTCAAATAGCATTTAATTCTGTGTTGCTTTACACCTATCCCCACCCAGAAAGCTCACTGGGGCATAATCCTGTTATCAGAAAGATCTTCCTAGTAATTAGATGTTGATATTTAAACAAATTGTCACACGGTTAAAGATGGCTGATATAGAGTTGAATGAAGCTAGCTGTTTCAACAGCCAATATAAAATATGCACAGAGTTGGAGGTACAAAGATGGAGGTTCTTTGAAAACTTGCTACATAAGGACTTAAAATCCTGTCATTCAAGTTCAGTTATCTTCCTCATGGAGGTGATTAAAAAATCAGTCTTTTAGGCTTTTCTGAAACTTTTTAGGCCGTATTTTGATTCTGTGATAAATGGGGGAGAGGAAAAGAATATATATTTTTGGGTACTTCTTTAAAATGAATATACTTAGCAAGAAAAATCATGAAATAATAACAGAATAAGATTATGCTATTTGTGTGTCATTTTAGACTTTTGTGGGATAATTTCTGTGTAATACTAATCCCTAGAAGAAATTATTTTGTACTAAAACCACAGATTGTTACAGAATCTGTGGTTGCACTAACCTATTCATTAACATTGACTCATCAATCTGGCTTTTCAGAAAAAATGACAGATCATGTGTCAAATCTTAAGTGAACCTGAGTCTCAATAATTATTTCCTCAGATCAGAAGAGAAAAGAGCTGTCAAAATGTGAAACTAGACATGTGCTGAACAAGGGCTTTTCACGCATCTGATTTATGACATTTCCTCTGGTGAGGCACCATATCATATCCTATTAGATAGGATGGTAAGCATATAGTTATTGAAAAATCAAGTTATTAAAAAAAGAAAATTCAAGTTATTAAGAAAAACAATGACCAGGTGTTTTCCTTTAACAATGATAGAAAATTTGTTTTTCTAAGGATATAGTTTTCTATACACACATGTACATTTATATGACAAAACCTAATACATATTCATTGTAAAAAGTTATAAAAAGCTAGCAAAAAAGCATAATGAAAAGCATTAAAATAACTTCTAAATCACTGCAGAGAACCTGTAATTTTCATTTTGGGCATATGTACTTCCAGATTTCTACATCGATTTTTATAAATTTTACTATAAGTTCTCTGCCTATTTCCATTCTCTTTCTATCTCATTATTTTGTTGTTGTTTCCTTTAAATTACAGTTTTGTGAACCATGTTATTGCCCATGGCAATATAAGCAGTCTAGATTATAAACAGTCTAGGTTATTGAACTCCAAAAGACATCTCTAAATTTCATTTTAGGTACTGATTTTAGTCATTTCTTCTGGGATAATGTTTGCTAGAACTGAAACTTGCAGTCTAAATCAGGGATCAGCAAGTTATAGCCTATAGGAAAAATCAGCCAGCCACTCATTTTTGTGGGCCCATCATCTAAGAGTGGTCTTCATATTATTTTAATAGTTGAAAAAAAATCATAAAAAGAGTAATGTTTTGTGCCCGCTAAAAATTTTTACAAAATTTAACTTTTAGCATCCAAAATCAAGTTTTCCTGGGCTGCAGCCACACTGCTTGGCTGACATATTGTCTCTGGTGCAGTATCACTACAAAGACAAATCTGAATTGCTTCAGAAGGACTGTATGGCCTGCAAAGCTGAAACTATCTGGCTTTTTTAAAAATTTCTTTATTGGTTAAGGTATTACAAATATGTCCTCATCCCCCCATTAACCCCCAACCTTCCCCCCCCTCCCCCGCACTCATACTCTCATCCCCCTGTTGTCCATGTCCATTGGTTTGGCTTATATGCATGCATACAAGTCCTTTGGTTGATCTCTTCCCCTTACCCCCACCCTCCTCTACTTTCCCTCTGGGGGTTGATAGTCTGATGGCTGTTTCTTTGTCTTTGGGTCTGTCCCTGTTCATCAGTCTATGTTGTTCTCTATATTCCACAAATGAGTGAGATCATGTGGTATTTATCTTTCTCTGACTGGCTTATTTCACTTAGCATAATGCTCTCCAGTTCCATCCATGCTGTTGCAAATGGCAAGATTTCCTTCTTTTTTACTGCAGCATAGTATTCCATTGTGTAGATGTACCACACTACATCTACTCATTTTCTGATGGGCACTTATCTGGCTTTTCACAAAAAAAATATTGCCAACTCCTGGTCTAAATTACTGTACTTCTTTACTGTACTTCTCAATTATGATCCTTCTCCTATGTGGTCACCATTTGTATTCTAGAGGACAGGGCCACTACTAGTAAATTCTTTATTCCCTAGTCATTTGTTTGATGAATATTTTTATGATCCTACCATGTGGTAGACACTGTGACAGGCACCAGAATTATAAGAATAAGTCGATTTAGCCCTTCACAAATCCAGAGAAACATAGACATATAAAATAATAATAATGTCACAAGGCAGTAAGTGCTCTAGCAGAGGTGTGCGAAAAGTTCCATGAGAACACAAGAAACAGATACTAACCTTCATTCAGACATTGATTTTCATACTTTTTATTCGCAACATAAACTGATTCTCAGAATAATTCAGAGGTGGGTGTGATTATCATTATTTTGAAAGTGGAAACCTTGAGGGGTCAAGTAGCTTCCCAAAGTTGAGAAGCCGATTGAACATAGATGTTCTGACTTCAAAGCTTAGACTGTCTCCAATTCAATATATTTATTCCTGTAATAAAATATTCAGTACCCTGCCAATGCCACTTAATTGCATATTTCAATTCATTTCATCATTTTCTGATTTTGGTTGGGAAATGGCTAAAGAAATACTTCTGAACCTGGCAAGAATGATCTTTTATCTTTGGTCAATGCTTGGCTCAGTAGAAGCTGTGTATACACTTGAAGTCTTCAGTGGAAGTCTATGTGTTTCTATGCTCTATTTTTAAGAACAAATGTTCAATATAATTGCCTAATTATTAGGGAAATGTATTAGGATCATACATACTGTAGGTGTATATTTAATGATATATGGTAATGTTGTTTGTGCCTGAATGATTGAGTTATATTTCCAAATATGCTATTTTTTTGTACTTAAGCTATTTTTTTTTTCTTTTTGTTTAGCTTATGTTGTTCAGTCTTTGGTGCAATCATCCTTTCTCCAGTGTACCTGAGATAATGTTGATTAGAGTTGCCAGGAGTAGCAAATAAAAATAGAGTTAAACTTTAATTTTAGATAAACAATAAATGCTTTTTAGTATAAGCATGTTAAATGGAGTATATTTTCAGGAAGATGTGAAATTAAAATTCAGCTGGGCATTCTGTATTTTATCTGGCAAACCTAACATAGATGTAATTTGGTGTGTTCACAACTCACCTCTTATTTTATTTTAACCTCTTTCTCCCTAACAGTATTGCCAGGTAGAAATGATGCCAGCAAAACTTAGACTTACCTCATCATTGATTTTTTGTTTCAGGTCAGTCCTAATTTTTGAGTGCTCTACTGAAAAATCTGGATGATATTCAATACTGGGGATCTGGAAGGAGATTTGGAAATAGTGCACCTTTTTCTGATCTGGAAGGGAGAACAAATATGCATGGTTTCTCTTTAGTTCATATGAGCTACATAAATAATGGAAATAGAGGGTATGACATGCAAAAACATCCCATAATTGATGAACTCCTGAGAATTAATGCAGTAGCTGTGGCCAACAGTTCCCTCTTCCTTTTTGAAGATTGCACAATCTATTAGTCATGTAATTTTCAGTTGTGTCCTGACACAAGTTGACCTTGAATTTAGAATTGCTACTAAAATAATTTTTTATTCTCAGTAAATCATATTGAGAACATAAAATCATAAAATAACATAGAATATAAATCTATGGCATTGGTCAAGAAAAAGTGTTATGTGAACCAAGTCAAATTTTAATGCTAGAAGCATTTTTACACATAAAAGATTATAATTTCCAAAATGTAGATAAATTTATGCAACTCAACATTACATTATGCAAAGTATGTACACATTTAAGCAAATCATTGTTGCAATGAAAATTGTATTCTAAAATATTAAAAATTATTAAAGTTTTGAAATAAGTGAGTGGATATTTAAAATTTAAAAAAAATGCAATGAGATAGGTTCTTACCAAATGCCAAAAAATAAACAAGGAGACCGATGATTATTGCTAGAACCAACACAACAGCTGCAACAAAAAGGGCAATCATCCATGGTTTCAAGGAATTTGTTCTTCTGCTTCGTATTGGTGGCCTTTTGAGAGAGAGTCGTGTATTAAAAACAAACAGAACTTGAAGACTGGAATCTCAATTTCACATAGTTTTGGCATAGAATGTGTTTTTTTGTTTTGTTTTTACTTTAAAAAAAATTTTTGATGAGTAATTATTTTTTTTTAATTGTTTAAAGTATTACATGTCTCCCTTTTCCCCAATTAACCACCGTCCCTGAGGGCAAGCCCCCACCACTCCAGTGTCTGTGTCCATTGGTCATGCTAATATGCATGCATACAAGTCCTTTGGTTGATCTCTAACCTCTTCCTCCCCTGCCTTCTCCCCAAGGTTGGACAGTCTGCTCAGTGCCACCTTGTCTCTGGATCCATTTTGGTTCATCAGTTTATGTTGATCATTATATCCCACATATGAGTGAGATAATGTGATATTTATCTTTCTCCAACTGGCTTATTTTGCTTAGCATAATGCTCTCCAGTTCCATCCATACTGTTGCAAATGGTAAAAGTTCCTTCTTTTTTATAACAGTGTAGTATTCCATTGTGTAGATGTACCACAGTTTTCTAATCCACTCATTTGCTGATGGGCACTTAGGCTGTTTCTAAATCTTAGCTATGGTGAATTGTGCTGCTATAAACATAGTGGTGCATATAACCTTACTGATTGGGGTTTCTGGTTTCTTGGGATATATTCCTAGAAGTGGGATCACTGGGTCAAATGGCAGTTCCATTAACTTTTTGAGGAAACTCTATACTGTTTTTCACAGTGGCTGAACCAGTCTATGTTCCCATCAGCAGTGCACGAGGGTTTCTTTTACTCCTCATCATCGCCAGCACTTGTCGTTTGTTGATTTGTTGATGATAGCCATTCTGACAGGTGTGAGATGGTACCTTACTGTTGTTTTGACTTGCATCTCGGAGGATTAGTAACTTTGAGCAGTTTTCATATGTCTCTCGGCCTTCTGTATGTCCTCTTTCAAAAAGTGTCTACTTAGTCCTCTGTCCATTTTTTTTTTTTTGGATTGTTTATCTTCTTTTTTAAGTTGCATGAGTTCCCTGCAAATTTTGGAGAATAAACCCTTATCTGAGATAGCATTGGCAAATATGTTCTCCCATGCAGTGGGCTTTTTTGTTGTTTTGTTGATGGTTTCTTTTGTTGTGCAGAAGTTTTTTATTTTAATGTAGTCCCATTTGTTTATTTTCTCCTTAGTTTCCATTGCCCTAGGAGCTGTGTCGGTAAAGATATTGCTTCAATATATGTCTGATATTTTGCTCCCAAGGAGTCTTCTAAGGTTTTTATGGTTTCCCATCTTACATTTAAGTCCTTTAACCATTTAAAGTTGTTTTTGTGTTTGGTGTAAGTTGGTGATCTAGTTTCATTTTTTTGCACATATCTGACCAAATTTCCCTGCACCATTTATTGAAGAGACTGTCTTGATTCCATTGTATGCTCTTGCCTCCTTTGTGCAATATTGATTGGACATAGTGCCTTGGATCTATTTCTGGGTTCTCTGTTCTGTTCCATTGCTCTATATGTCTGTTCTTGTGCCAGTACCAGGCAGTTTTGAGAATCATGGCTTTGTAATATAGCTTGATATCTGGTATTGTGATCCTTCCAACTTTGGTCTTTTTTCTCAGAATTGCTGTGGTTTTTTGGGGTCCTTTTTTATTCCAGATGAATTTTTGGAGAGTTTGTTCTAGGTCTTTAAAATATGCTCTTGGTACTTTAATGGGGATTACATTAAATCTATAAATTGCTTTGGGTGGTATGGAAATTTTAATGATGTTGATTCTACTAATCCATAAACACAGTACATTCTTCCATTTGTTTAGAATGTGTGTTTTTTTAACTCTAGAATTTATGGTTAGCTCATATTACATTTGGTAACATTTGAATATGTTTTTCTATAAAGAATTTGACAAAATACTGTCAATAAAAACTCATTGATGATTGACTTTATATCTTGATTTTTAAAAAGTCAGAATTACACTACAGTGACTACTTTTTCATATATTCCCCAGTTTATTACCTAGATGTTCTGAAATAGTTTTTCTTTGTAAATGAACTAATACCATATGTTGGGTTCATGTGCTTCATATCTCAATGATCCTCAAAAAGTGAGGGCAAATGAGCCACTCCTCTCATTCTAGCATGAACAGACAGAGGCTTTGAGTGACTACTGAAACTTGGAGGAGCTAGAATGCAGACTTGGTCTGTTAGGGCTCTTTGCACACATCTGTACATAAACCTATAATCTCCATTTATAAAAGAAGTAATCTGTAATGCATACAAAGAACATCTAAAACAGGACATGTAGAAGAAAATAGAAAAAGAACAATAAGGAATAAATAATAAACAACACAAAAAGAAATTTATATAATGAACAAACAAATACTGATAGATCAGAATTTTGGACCCAGAAACTTCATGGCATGAGAACCACTGGGGGTATATAATGAATATCTATTTCATCTCTATATATAAAAGCCCAGTGAACGAATGGCAGAACGACTAGAACAACCAGTTGACCAGTCATGTGCACTGACCAGTGATGTGCACTGACCACCAGGGGGCAGACACTCAAAGCAGGAGCTTCCCCCTGGTGGTCAGTGTGCTCCCACAGTGGGAGCATCCACTCAGAGAGCAGGTCCACAGCCATTTGGCTGACCAGGATAAGTGGCACTCCCACAGCAGGCCAATCCCCACGGGCCACGGCCCCCACCAGTGCACAAATCCATGCACCGGGCCTCCAGTAGGATTATAAGATTCAAACCTGTGATTTTTTATAGATAATACTAGTGGCCCGGTGCACAAAATTCGTGCACATTAAAAGGGATTAATTAGAGGAAATATTTTAATACTAGTAGCCTGATGCATGAAATTAATGCGGCGGGGGGGGGGGGGGAAGGGGAGTCCCTCAGCCCGGCCTGCAACGATGCCAGCATCCCTCAATGTGGACTCTGGCCAGAGGCCCCTGCCCTCCCCTCCTTCAGCGCAGACTCCAGCCCGAGGCTCCTCCCCTCTCCTCCCTCCTCCCAGCCGGGGTGCAGACTCTGGCCGAGGCCCCTGCCCTCCCCTCTCTTCACCCGGCGAAGCACACATGTTCAGCTTTAGAAGTTATTTATTAACTATCAGTAAGTAAATAACTTCTAAAGCTGAACACGTCGCTGCAAGCCCAGCATTCCTCACCAGGGACTCTGGCTCCAGGCCCCTCCCCTCCCCTCCCCTCCTTCGGTGCAGACTCTGGGCTGGCATCACAGCAAGCCTGGAATCCCTTGCTGTGGACTCCGGCCCAAGGACCTCTCCTCTGCCCGGCCGGGGTGTGGACACTCGGCATCCCCGGAGGCAGACTCTGTGAGCCCAGTGTTCCTTGCGGCGGACTCTGGCCTGAGGCCCCTCCCTTCCCCTCCCTCTGCCCGGCCGGGGTACAGACTCTGGGCATTCCTTGAAGCAGATTCTGGCTGGAGGCCCCCCCCCCCCCCCCATGCAGCCGGGCCAGACGCTGGGCTCATGTTGCCGGGGTAATAAAAACTCATTGCCCTCAAAAAGTGAGGGCAAATGAGCCACTCCTCTCATTCTAACATGAACAGACAGAGGCTTTCTGCATTCTAGCTCCTCTGGGTTTCAGTAGTCCCGTCCTGGCCACTATAGGCATTGCCATCTTTGTCACAGAGTGACGGTTAAAGAAAGTCCTGGGAGCCCATGGGCGTGGCTATGGCCTTGCCTCCTGGGGCCGGCGAAAGTCTCGGGAGCCTGCAGCCACAGCTGCCATCACCTCCTGGGGCACTTGACACCTGCGTATGCAAATTAACCTCCATCTTTGTCAGATAATTTGCATAGTCACTCGGATTGGCTGGTGGGTGTGACTTGTGGGCGTTGCTTCAGCATAGTGGAGGGACAGCTAATTTGCATGTTTCTCTTTTAATATATAGGATTGCTATTTGCCCTTTCTCTATAATAGAAATATCAGAGATGAAAGAAAATTAGTAAAATGTATATGAAACTCTTCCTCCTGTCAGAGTCTGGGGTGCACCGCAGGACCCAGAGTTAAGTCCCCACCCACCCGAAGCACCTCAAAATCATGCAAGACCCAGACCTGGCTGGCCCCACCTCCACTGGGTGAGATCCTAACCCAGCCAGCCCCACCCTTGTCAAGCTCGGCCAGGCAGAGGGCTTAGCCTTAGGTCCCCTGGCCTGGTGCTGGGAGAGGGATGAGGCCTGAGGTCCCCTGTCAAGTCTTGCCAGGCAGGGGGCACAGCCTGAGGTCCCCCAGCCTGGTGCCGGGGTAGGGGGCGTGGCCTGAGGTCTCCTGCCCTGGCCCAGCACCACGCAGCCTTAGGTCCCTGCTGATTGCTCCTTAAAGCTCGTTACAGAAATTCGGCCTCCGCTGTGGGCTCAGCCATCTTGTGTTTTAGAAACACTGCCTCTGCTGTGGTCACCGCCATCTTTGTGACAGCTTGACAGTCAATTTGCACATTCCCTCTTTATTAGATAGAATTGTGTAGAATAAGGCCATATTTATTTGAGTAAATAATGAATCAATTTAAAGACAATTATTATTGAGACAATAATAATGTACCAGTAGCATGCAAATATGAGAAAAAGTATGAAAGTGATATGCAAATGACTGACATTTGGCAAACCTTTGCAGAAACAGGAAAATGTGACAAAACTCTTCTCCCATCCCAGGCTCGGAGCCCACACCTAAAGACTAAACCTGAACACTTATAGAATCGAGGCAGGCTAGAAGAGGACCATCGGGGATTATACAGGAAGATCTAACCCATTAGAGAACTGGACAGGAATATTGTTCTGATAATTATAGATACTGCTTCTTTTTATCTTACAAGTACACATGGAAAAGAAGAAGAAGGAATTGCCTTCTCTGGGATTGATAAATGGTGATATAAAAGTAGAAAATATAGGCCCTAGCTAAGTAATTGAAAATATTACTGAGGTGTGCCTTTGGCATCAATGATCTCAAAGGAGTAGGGATGCTCTTGTATCTTTGCACCTGGGCAAAGAAGCTAGAAGCAGTTTTGCCACTCTATAACCTATAATCTAAGCTCTGATAAGTACCTCAGGTAGCATTAATTCTGAGTTCTGCTATATTTCTGGAAGGATATAACATTATTCTGGTCTGCTACTCTTTGGTTGATGGCAAGACAAGAGTACCTGCAGCAATCTGCAGATATCTGAAGTATCATTAGAAAAGCTAGGATCCCACTGGGGCACAGTCAAAATCTAATGAACATATTTATCACCTTTATTTTTTATTTTTTAAATATATTTTATTGATTTTTACAGAGAAGAAGGGAGAGGGATAGAGAGTTAGAAACATTGATCAGCTGCCTCCTGCACGCCTCCTACTGGGGATTGAGCCTGCAACCAAGGTACATGCCCTTGACCAGAACCAAACCCAAGACCATTCAGTCTGCAGGCTGACACTCTATCCACTGAGCCAAACTGGTTAGGGCTTATCACCTTTATTAATAGAGGATCATGGTCAATTATAAACTCATTCAGTTGACATTTGCTGATTTCTTCTCTTTGCCAAACACTTTTCGCTCAAGATTAAAAACTGAATAAGACATAGTCTCCCATCTACAAGAATGTATTATTTAGAGACACATTAAGTAATGACTATAATACAAATGACACATGTCATAATGGAATTATGCCCAAGAGAGGTAAGTGGGTTGATTTTGCTATGAGAGGTAAATGAGTTAGTTTTGTCTTAAAGAAGTTGTCCTTTGAAGTTGGCCATGAAGGCTGAGAAATAGAAATTGGCAAAGATGACATGTACCACAGGCAGAGGGAACAGCATAAAAAAAGACAAGTAAACATGAGGCAAGGAGAGGGACTTCTCAAGGACATACTTGAGAAAGTAGAGTTTATGAATGAGAATAGAGGTAAGCTTAACGCATGTTTCCATTAGTTAACTTAGTAGAAATTTATTGATCATTACCTTGTACAAAGTAGGGGAATGTAAAAAGCATCTTAAATATATCCTCCTCTCAAGGTGTAGTCTTATAGAGGAGAAGGAGCACAATGCACACAAATTGCTACCAGAGTCACAGAGAATTTCTAAGAGAATCTTGAAAAAAAAAACCTAATTATTTCTCTTTGGAGGAGATAATGGCTGCAAATAGTGATAATTTTTTAAAGATTGAAAATGCTGGACCCATTTTTTCACTGTCTTCTCTCTGGGTCAGATAGGAAAAACATCGTTAAAGGAGGAGCTTGTTTTGCAACAAAGTTCTCATCTTCAGAAGCATATAGTTTCCCACTGAACTGTTTTTCTAACACCAGAAACATTGTGACTGAATTGCAAACTTAGGTATGTGTAAACCAAAATTAATTTTAGACTGTAATAAAAAATAAAGAGCATTTATTTGAGCAAATGGAGCTGCAGCCTAGGAGACAAATTCAGGTAGCAACTTAAATTGCGTTCCCCTGAGACAGAGTGGAAGTCACTGGCCATTTATAGTGAAAGTTCCCACCAAGATTCCCAATTAGGTCTATTTTATATAAATGAAGTACCAAATTGTGCAATTCTGATTGGATGGGGTAGGTCTCAATTCGTAGAAAGACAAAACCAGGGCTTCCCCTGCATTGGTTGACTCATGTGACTCATTCGTTGACTCATGTGGGGCATAGTGTAGGAAGCTGAGAGTTCAGTCTGAGGTCCTTCCCCATTTTTGCAGTACATGAGGAGCTCCTGCCAGCAAATGGCTGCTGGGCTCTTATCCTATATAATATAGAGGTAATATGCAAATTGACCATCACACCCTTATACAAGATGGCTGCCCCCATGTGGACACAAGATGGCTGCCATAGATGGCTTGCAAGGGAGGGAAGTTAGGGGCAACCAGGCAGGCAGGGGAGGACAGTAAGGGGGAATGAGGCCTGCAGGGGAGGGCAGTTAGGAATGACCAGGCTTGCAGGGGAGGGAGGGCAGTTGGGGACAACCAGGCCTGCAGGGGAGGGCAGTTGGGGCAATTGGGCCAGCAGGGGAGCAGTTAGGCATTGATCAGGCTGGCAGGGGAGTGGTTAGGGGGTGATCCGGCTGGCAGAAGCAGTTAGGGGAAATCAGGCAGGCAGGCAGGCAAGAGGTTGGGAGCCAGCAGTCCCAGATTGTGAGAGGGATGTTCGACTGCCGGTTTAAACTGGCAGTCAGACATCCCCCAAGGGGTCCCAGATTGGAGAGGGTGCAGGCTGGGCTGAGGTACACCCCCACCCCAGCACGAATTTTGTGCACTGGACCTCTAGTTATTTATAAAATGTGGACCCTTGGTTGACTAAGGGGAATCCATCTCAGCAGGTAAATTCCATTTTGAGGTTTACATTAAATGAATCTTTCTTTTTGGGGGTCCACATATGAATAATAAGTAAAAATTTACATTTTTTTCCTTAACCAGGCAGCCATGACTTATAATATTTATTCTTGGATGTTTTAAAAAAATTAAAATAAGATTTGATTTTCTCCCTAGTTTTTAGTACTAATATAATTTTAACTTACACATTGACTAGTTTCAATGAGTGATTTCAGCGGTTATTCTGTATTAGTAGAGCTTGCACTTCATACATATTAGGTAAATGTTTGTCCACTAAATAAGAGAATGTGTCTTCAGGTGGTAGGTAACCCTAAATTATTTACAACACAAAAACTTTTTTTATCAGAGTTTTGCTAGAGATGAGTTTTTCAAACATAGCAGGAGGGGAAAGATTAAGCAGTTACTTGGAATACAATACAAGTTTTATAATTACAAATTGCTAAAGGACAAGTCTCTTTTCTTTCTTTATTGGCCTCTTTCTCCCCCTAACCATTGTAATTCAAAACTTTTAATTTGGCCAGCCTATCCCAGCAAGATGACTAAACAGGTTCATTGTAATACAGGAAAATACAGCCTTAGAGAAACTTTTGACATTCAATCAAAAGAAAAATATGTGACCTCATCTTTGAAGTATTCCTGCCAAAGCAAAGATGAGCAGTGATGAAAGCTACCCACTCAGCAGGTCAGTCTAGAAAATTTTTCACAAAGAAGAGAAGCATTTTGAAAAGTGTCTTCTATTTAATCTCTTCCCTACCTTTATGTAAAATCTGAGTGGCTCATTACCCAGACTGTCTCCTGGGGAGGTACTTCTTGACCTCAATAGAATGGAATCAACTCCTCTGGCTCTTTTCTTTTTTTAAAAAAATATATTTTATTGATTTTTTACAGAGGAAGAGAGAGGGATAGAGAATTAGAAACATTAATGAGAGAGAAACATCGATCAGCTGCCTCCTGCACACCTCCTACTGGGGATATGCCCACAACCAAGGCACATGCCCTTGACTGGAATCGAACCTGGGACCTTTCAGTTTGAAGGCCAGTGCTCTATCCACTGAGCCAAACCAGTTAGGGCCTGGCTCTTTTCAATGTACCTTTACCAAGGTACATCTTCAGGGCCTATTCTCTTAGATAGCTCTCCTGACATCTATTTTTTTTTTCTGGGTGCTTTTAAAATTATTTATATTATCAAATGTTGTCACTCAATGAGTCAAGGATGAGGAATAAAAGGATTTCTTTTTGCCACAGCAGTGGCCACATGAAAGAGGTTGTTCAGTATAGTGGTTAAGGGTGTGAGTTCTGCAGCCAGCTGAAATGAGTGCCTATCCCAGCTCCCCTACTGTGGGGCATTGGCAGTCATTCAACCTCTATGCCTTAGCTTCCTTATCTATAAAATGGAGCTAAAATTACCCACCTTATGGATATTGCACTTTTTGCAGAGACAATTGAGTTAATATAAGTAAGAGAACTTAGAATCATAACTAAAACATGGTGAGGACTTAGGAGTTTGTTTATTTTATTATTTTTATTATCAAAAGCAGCAGAGAAATGATAACCAAGGAATGCATACTGGGGTAGGGTGAGTTGGTGGAAAGTGTGTGCTGGATGGTAGATGTGCTGCTCTTGAAAGAAAGGGAAGGGAACTTGTGCCTAGGATCTTGGAATCTGAGTGGCTGTGTACAAACTATGCACAGATTAGGAAGCAATTTGGGAGCCTAGCAAAGCCCTGATAATCTCCAAGGGGGGTTCCAGCAGATAAGATTTAAAGCTTAGGGAAAGGACCTCTAGAGCCTTCAAGAGTAATCAATCACAAGATTCAGAGGTATCCATCTTGTGGTAAGCACATTTTGGAGCATCCTTGGGAAAAAGTTACTGGACAACAATGGGTATGAGAAAATTTAAGACAAGACAAGATGGGTGAATCATGTAGCTGGGGTTTTAATCTACTGCCTGGAGAAGACAGAGACTCTGGAGAAAATTGTTATGAAAATATCAGGAGGTGGGGGTGCTATTATTCATAATAGTGGTGGCTCAACAATGATGACAATGATCACTTTAATTGTACCACCAGATAGGATGAGACTTTTATAAAATCTATGATGTGAGTAGGA